TTAAAATATAATTTAGATTCAGGAAACACACAATACAAGGAAAATTATAGTAGCAGTTCCTAATTTTAACTTTTTCATAATCTTGTAACTCTTCACAAGTCTGAATGAAACGTGATGAGAGAAAGATACACGTTGGCCTGCAGAAAATGAGCTTTTAATTCTATAACTTCTTTTTAAAATCATTTTCTCTAAGCCAGCTAATTAAAGAAATAAAGAATGTGGCATCTGCTCTCAGTGTGCACAGTAGGTAATTTCTCTACTAGTTTTTATCCTTTCTGCTGGCAGCATAAAATAATTCACCAGCATAAACTCTGCTGGGGCTTGTGAGACCTTCTGGCAGAAGGAGAAGCTGAGATGCCGGTGAGCGAGCCTGGCTGATGAGCTGTGAAGACACGGTCCTCTGGTTTTGATTACAGAGGTGGCCAGGGTATTTTTTTTCATGCCTGGTTTTGCTCAGCTTTGAGAAATTGTGTATTGTTTGTGTCCCGAGGAAGTATATTGGATGCCTCCAGACAGAAAGTTGGGGAATTTTTCCCTGCCTTCAGTGTATAAAAACCAGTGTAGAAGAGTTTGTGATTAAGGTTCAAATAAGATAGTACCTCGGTGGAAGAACAATTTAAGGAAGAAAGTGATTCCAGCTATGCCTGTCTAAGATAGGTAGTCAACAGATCAGTCTTTTTAGGTTTTTGTCTTTCAGGACTAAGCTTTTTGAAGTAAGGATTTGTGCTTCTATGGTTTCAGAAAGAAATCCCTCAAATATATTGATGTTCATAACTTTGTATGTACAGTAAAAGTCACCTCAGGGCAGACTATTCATTGACAAATGACCATCACTGGGGCTTCTTGGATCTCACAGTGGCTGCTAACCATGGCCAAAGCCTTGGCCACTGTTGAAGACTACACTGTTTAAGAGAGTTTGTACTACAACGACTCTAAGGGCTCACCTGATACCAAAGTGGTATGAATTTAACTTAAAATATTTTGAAAAAACAAGTTAGTTTTCCACCTCAGACACTTCTTACTCTGGTTTAGTTTAAACAAACCTGAGTGGCTTAAAACAAAAATAAACCTTGTTGCACACCAACTTACTTTAATACTTTTATTGGAAGAGATGAACTGTTTATGTGAGAGGAAAATTTAGCTTTCTTCCTATTTTGATAATAGGCAACATAAATTATGTTGATGTTATGCAAAAATATTTTTATTTTTCTACTTGACAGAATAATAACCATAAAACCTTCTAAATGTATATAATTTCAAGGTAATAATACAGTGAGAGATGTTTAGAAAACAGCTCTGAAATTTCTCTAAGTAGCTGAAGCCTTGCTGATTTACCAGAGTCACTTTAATGTGTATTTACTTTGCAATTGAGTGTTGTGATTGAAGCACTGATACACACCCCTGTGCCTTGCAGTTAGGGCTCTGATGATAGTGAATGTACTGCTTGAAGGTTTCAGCAGGTTCTGGGGGACTTGAGGTGTTAGTCAGCGGGGACCTTGACAGGCTGAGAAAAATGGGCTGGCAGAAACTTAAATTAAGCATTTGCAGGACTCAGAGAGTCCTGCAGTTGGAACAGACAGAATGATGTCATGCAATGGCGCAGGCCTGGCTGTTGGCCAGATGGAAGATGGCTCCTCAAAAAAAAAAGGACCTAGGGTCCTATACCAGCTTAGTCACTAGTGTGCCCTTCCAAGGAAAAGGTTCACCCCCATACTGGGCTGTGCTAAAGACGGTGCAGCCAGCAGGCTGAGGACAGTGATTCTTACCTCTGTTCAGCACTTGCAAGGCTGCATCTGGATTACTGTGTCAGTTTTTTGACCCCCCAGTAGGAGGAAGATAATATACTAGAGTGAGAGTGAGTGAGCAGGCTGAAGCACATGATGTACAAGGAGAAGCTGATAGAGCTGTTTTTTTATTGCTCCCTTCAGCTGTCTGAAAGGAAGTTATGGAGGAGACAGAGCTAAGCTCATGTCAGAGGTGCGCAGTAGGATGAGAGGCAGCAGATGGAGACCACAATAGGAGAAATTCTGATTAGGTGATAGGAAAATTTTTTGATCATGACAATAGTGAAACCCTGGAACAAGGGCCTAGAGAGTCTCCATGCCTGGAGCTACTCTGAAGTTGACTGGACAGGACCCTGGGCTGCCTGCTCTCAGTCAGTCAGGTGTCTGGACCAGATAACCTGTAGATGTCCCTTTTTATAATTCCAGTGGAGTTTAATGTGCTAAGCAAGAAAAAGATTTTTGCTTCAATCTCACAATTAGCTTTTTCATGTCCTCTAGTAGTGTCCCACCTGGTGCTCAACATCTGAGGTTAGACTGTCAACTAGTAGGAAGAGAGAAATATCTCTATGGGCTCAGTGGAGGCTTTTCTGTAATACACAATGCCCTATGTTAAACACTGAAAGCGTATTATTAGCTTGGATAGAAACTCCAGCAAGAAGCATTTGGAGAAGGATGTAGGTCTGCAAATGACAGAATTTACACTCTGTCAATTATTGAATATTCAAACTATGCCTGAGGTTTGATATATATATATATATGTATACATCAGATTTACATGAGCCTGAAACTCTTATTGTGAATTCATGACTTGAAGGAAAAGGCATAAAATACCCCAATAAAAAAGATGTATTGTTTCAGTTCGGAAAAGAATGAGCTAAGTTAGGATAGCATTAGCGTAGCGACTATCTGCTTCCGGGGTTAATAGTCTCATTGGTTTTGATAGAGCTGCTGAAGGAGAAAAGGTTTAATATTGTTCATGTTAGAAAATTAGTTCATACAGCTACTTGCTGAATGTGTATTGATGCTAGCATCAAAGTAGTATAAATCCTGTTTTAATCTTTGTGTGTGTGTGTACTCATTTTCAGATTGCTACAAGTGAAGAGAGACCCTCTGGTCATGATTTCCTTGTTGGACATGTTTACAGGGGTGTGGAGACGTTGGGAAAGGAACTTTTTATGTATTTTGATCAGAAAGCTTTGAGGTAAGAGGCGAGAAAAAAGCTTCCTAAGCATTCAGACTGTACGGATGTGGGGGGTTGTCTTGTTCTTGCTAATACCAGTTTCACAGATTTGAAAGTTAGTGCTAACGAGAAACTTCTCAGCAGCCTCTCTGCAGTGCTGGAAATACTGGATATAGTCACATTTTCAGATAATTTAATGCTTTATTCTTAGTCTGAGATTCCACGTAAAGTTATCTGAAAAGGAAAATTATTCCTTGAAATGCTTTGTTTCTAACAGGAAATTGCATTTTCTAGGGACAAAACTCAGAAGTGCTTGCAGTTACAGTTACTTAATATCTTCCCCTACAAACTGCACTTGAAATTTCTTTTAACTTTCCTTAAGAAACGTAGACTGAAATTTTGTACTTAATTTTTAATGATTCAATTGCTTTGATAATAAACTTGTGTGAAAATTTGCCAAACTTAAAATATTCTGCATGTATAGGTTTATGCTGCCTTTCTTTCTTTAAACAATATTAACAGCTCCTTGGTTTAGAGGCGTGGTTTGAAATTTGTCAGATCAATGGTTTGAGTATCATAAATGTAGCTCTTAACTTTCTAGTGAAACCATATCTCCTAGACAAATGGTAAAACTGCCAAATCATTGTTTGTTCATGCTTTGCAGAGCTTATTAGGGGTTGGCTGGCACATTTAGGATTTTGTCATATGCTTTAACCCCTTGGACTTCTTGTTCTAGTCTTCAAGGTTGTATTTGGAATCTAGTTTACTTTTCTAGTTCAATATGCTGTACTGCAAAGTCAACTGAAAATAAATCTAACCAAATGCAGTGTAATGGATTATTAAAAAAATCCCCTTTCATTCTTTATGGTAATTAGTATAGAATACATAGGTAAGGCCCTAATATTTAATAAGTAAGGCTTGCAGTTAATGTTTCTCTTTACCCTTCTATGTGCAACATAATTCTAATCTGTCTAAATCTTTTAAAAGGGAAGCAACATCACTTCTACATTCAGTCTAGTCTTTGTCACCTACTGACTGATGTTGAACAAAGGTGTAAGGTTATGATTTTTGTTCATTTAAAACTGATAATATCAACAAATACCTTACAATTCTGTGACATATTTTGCCAGTGGCACAGCTGTTATAGGAGGGAGGTGGAACTGAAAATGCTTGGCTGCAAGTACAACAGTTTACAGTAGTTGAATGCTGGATAAATAAAGGCAATGATGTATTAGTAATTACCTGGGATACTGCATGGACTGATCTTTGGTAGCAGGGGCCTGCTGGTTATCAGATATAGTGATATATGCTTATTTCTCCTAGTGTTAGAGAAATGCAACTAGTCTTACAAGCACATACTGGTCTTTACATGACAATCATACAAGCAACTAGTAGGACAGGACTGCATATGTGTTTAAAGCAACCCATTTGTGAAGAATAGGATTATGGTCCGAATCGGTTTCTCTTGCTTTGTATTGTGCTTTCTTAAATAGAAACAGAGAAGAAAAATCAGTTCTAAAAATAAAAAGATATGTCAGTTATAAAGGAAGATTAAAAAAAGAAAGGCAGGGAGGTAACTGATGCAGATGTTAGCCTTTTTAAAATGACTATTGCATGTGTTACAAATTGATTGCATAAGCAAAGGAGTAAATTACAAATAAGAAGACATTGTTTCAACAGACTGAATTACAGTACCAGAAGAAAAAAGCTATTACTAAGGAATGTAAGTAAGCATTTTGCAAAAGTTCTCTTCAAAGAGAAAGAAAATGTGGCCAAGTTTTAGTCTGGAAAATACAATCCTTTGACCCTGGAAGATCTTAAATAATTCTTAAGCTTTTTAGCCAATGCAATAACTTACTGTACTTAATGAAAACAGTTTGTCATTTGATCATAAGCTTAAAGGTTTTATCAATTCATCAGTTATTGTAGCTCTAGAAACTGTATTTAAGGAGTCCCTTTAGTCATGTCACTTATTTGTTTGGAAACATTTTAGAAAAGTTATGTACAAGAAAGGTCTCCTCTATACAAGAGGCAGAAGTTATTTATTATCTGATAATGAAGATGTTAATTCTCTTGTTTTAAAAATGTGTGTTGTGCATTTTAAAGATGTTGAGAGGAGGCAGAGGGAAGGCTTCAAGAAAATGCATCTTGCAGCAGTCTAAGATTGGCTGCCAGGATTGTTACTGGGAGATGAAATATGGAATATGCCTTCAGAGGTTGTATTACTTCTTTATTAAAGTTAACTCTCAAATATAGGACTTTCTTGTCATGAGGAGGGTTACCGATATACAGATTCTGTATCTGTATGTCAGTTTCTCAACATAACAAACCCAGCTTTTCATGTCTACTAAGATTATGTGTAAAAAGCTGGTGGTCATGCTGGAATAATGTTAGTCAGACATGTCTTGTGAAAGAGCGGACCATGAAAGGTTATTAAACTCATTTTTTGCTCCTGGATTTGCTCAAGTGGAGAATGACTGCCTGGTGGGAGAAGATAACCTGGCCATGAAATTGTTTTATACAGTTTGGCTACTGCTTGCCTGACTTGCAAATGAGGAGGATACTTCTGAAGTGTTGCTGTGTTGGGGATAGCAATTAGCAAACGAAGTTCAGTTCAGTATATTTGCAATTCATGGTGGGCAGTAGAAGTTTTCTTTTAGGGGTACAAATGAGCAATGGCACCTTCTGAAGAAATTAGTACTTCTACTTTTTGATGTCTGTTTAAACAAGGACATTAAAGTCACTGAAGAAAGTCAAGGTTTTTTGGAAAATCTGAGGTTTGGTTTTTTTTTAATTTTGTCTTGAAAGTCACTTAAATAATCAATGAAGTATGAAAAAAGTTCTGTAGTACTTGTGAGTTGTGCAGGAGAAACTTGGATGGACTGTATGTTTTATAATGGCAATGATAGTGTTATGCGAGAGAGGTTGTTCTGGGTTTAGTTTCTGTAGCATGCCATTAATGTAAATTTGGAGTGAAAAGTGGGTTAGAAAAGTTTCTGAAAATTGATAATGCGTGTATGTTTTTGCATAACTGAAAATGGGCACAAATATTCTTAGGAAAAAGATAAATGTTCACATACCTTAATGAAATCTGCTGTCTTGACTGGAAATTACATCTTGTTCTTTAGGACTCGATAATGTGAATTGTCACTGGTTTTTACATCTCTATATAGTAGTTTGACTGTGCTGCTACTAATCTTTTATTTTTTATGGGCAAAAATGTTTTAAATAAAAAGCAGATCCTTATAATGTGTAGCACTAAATAATTCCAAAACCTCACCTTTTTTACTTTAAAGCAACAACAAAAAATTGACAACTCCTTGCTACTAGCTATAATTGAACAACAGATCCTAGGTTTTTCTATTTGTAATTAAAATGAGAAGTTTTCTGTTTTGCCCTCTTTCAGGACATCAAAGGTAATGAATGAAACACATTGGAATGAAATCTTGGTAACTTTCTTAAGGCTTTTGAATGTAAATGTGTAGAAATTAGTCAATTATTTTTTTCTAGTCATGAACGGAAAAGTCACTAAGGTAGCTAATAGTTGTGATTCTTAATGTTCCTTTTAAACTGTGTACTGGAGCTTGGAAAATGTAACCATCAGCTATTAATGCGAATGCTATTTCTTTAAAAAAAACTTCCTGGAAGCATTTAGTGCATTACCACTTAGTAGGAAGATGCTAGAGTCTGGTTTAAAAATAAATTTGACTAGTTAAGCCTGTACAGTACTGTTCATGGCACTTGAGAACTGGAAATGGCTATTGAAAATAAAAATGGCAGAAATAACTGTATCCACTGAATTGACTTGTAAGAGGAGGGTTTTGGAAAGACAGAGGTTGTTAAAAATGGAAAAAAAAATAGAGAATAAATGCTGTGAGGAAGTTAGATAAAGACTTGAAGACTGTGCTTAATGAAATGTTGTCTTAACCTGTAAATTTTTGAAATGCCTATCCTCCCTGAAATGTAACAAAGAGGGGTTAAAAGGAAATATACACCTGATGTTGCATTTCCTTGGTCATTTGTGTAGTTTGATCTCTTAAATATTTTTGTAGCTACAAGATGATCCACCTTTTCTGATATACAATGTATAGAAGTAGGGCACTCCCTCTGTCTTATGTTTTTTTTAGGACTTGAATGTACCAGGTGAATTTGTAATAAATAAAATATATGAGACTATAGTCAAACTTGTCCTTTGCTCAAGTATACTAGCTCCCAGTAGAATATATTATAACATGTAAGACCTCTTAGAGCATTAGTGCTCTTTAAAAGGAATGCTTAAAGGGTCTGTTCTGCTGCTTTGCCATCTGTGCATTTTTCAGTTTCTTTCTTTTATTAAATTTTAATTGACCTGCAGGTTTTGCTTTGGTTGTAGGCAAAGAAAAGCAGAAAACAACATATGGCAGATGTTAATTACTTTGTCTATGATGTTATTGAAGTAACTTTGATATGATAACAGTGTTCGCAATGTGAGGACTGAAATCTTTCTTTCATACCAGTTGACTTCTGCCTGATTTAACAGAAAATTGTGTGGAAAAGTAGCCTCATTTCTTTCAGCCTCCTTGAGGAATTAAGAACCTATGTTGGAAGTTAAAAAAATTCTAAGTGCAATACACGAGAAAAGTGTTTTACTAAATGATGAAGTTTGACTTCTGTATAATGAATTATGAAGACCACTGGAAAACTGCTGTGTTTTGGAGTGTTTCTGACTTGGGGAGGTTTCTTCTCTGGGATTTGAGCACTGTGTAAGCAAGTAGTTTGTTGTCATGTTACTCTTAATGACTAGAATTAATGTACATAAATAATGACTTGGTTAGGTAAGAATAGTTCATAACTTCAAAAAATATACTAGTGTAATGCTTTGAAACATTGTTAAGATAAAATACCCATAAGAACTCTCTTTCTCTCTGAGGATTCACTTTGGTATGAATGGTTCCATGCTCATTAATCCTGATGGAAGCAAGGACAGGAATGGAGCACTACCAGTTTTGGAGATACAGCTTACAAAGGATACCATCTGTTTTTTTGAGGTGACAGTAGAGTATAGGTAAAGCAGAACCTAACCAACTTAAACACAGCTTGCTTTATTTCTTTTTATAATATTCTTTTAAGAACACAGTACAAAATCACACACAAATTGTGAAGTGCTCGGATGAAAGCCATCATAGGCACAAAGAAACAAAACTAAACTTTCTAAACATACCATATTTATTGGTATGGTAATTTAATTTGGTTACTTTTATATCAGAGTTTACATACAGTTAAAGTAGTTCTGTGCCATAGTGTCAAGACTGGGAATGAAAGTTGTATTTAATTTCATCCTTGTATCTGAATGCTGAACCTCATTGCTCCTTTAATTTCCATGCCAGTCTCACTTGCTTAAAAAGAATAAGGACCTGTGGTGATTACTGATTCCAAATTTTTATGCTCCCAAGGTTATGTTTTTGTTTTTTGTTTTCTTTTGGAAGCGAATTTTTCTAATTTACTTTAAGTGGATGGTTTTGTCCATCAGCACCGTACTTCTCACTGCTAATAAAAATAACATGGCAAGCTTGATTTTAAAGCATTTGAGCCACTTGGGTGAAAAGGAGCCTCTAAATTCAAGTAACATATATATGCATATTTAATATTACAAAACATAAAAGCTTATGTAAGCCTGAGACTTCTTGTACTGTATTATTTTCAAACAATTTGTTCTTCAATGTACGATTACGCTTAACCTAATAAAATCAAGGTTTAAGAAAATGTATCTTTTATTGCCATGTTGTAACTACTGGACCATATAACCTCACTGTACTGCTAGTTATGCTAGGTGGTCCAAACACGTGGTCCTTCCGTGTTGGAAGCAGTTTTAAAGCATGGACCTGGCAATTATTTTTCAAACTAACATGAACAAAATGAGGATGACTTCTTATATGTAGGACCAGATGTATGTTCCATGCATGTATTATTGGCCTGTTTTTGGGAGGGGTGGTTAATATAATTTCTGTGCCTCTTCCACTGGTATTTTCTTGGTTTCTGTTATCTGCATATATACTTTCATGTATTGTTTTTAAAACTATACTGTTATACTCGCATATAATTAAAATAAAAATAAGTTTTAATGTATTTTCCTCTTCTAGAAATGCAGCTGAGAGTGAGCAGAAAGTGAGAATGATGGAAAGCTTGGATGTCTGTTCTCCAAAGTTTAGCTTCTTAAGAGCAGAAAGTGAGATTAAGCAGCAGAAAACCTGCATGTTGTGTGATGTGTTGCTGGACCAAGCAGTATTACCTGGGGTGGGAAATATCATAAAAAATGAAGCACTGTTTGACAGTGGTCTCCATCCAGCTATTAAGGTGGGTAAGACGTCTCAAGATTGTTTTTAATGACACCAAAGATTAGGAATGTAAATACATATTTATTTAACCTTTTTGTCATCTTCTTACCTTTGTTTTATTATCTGTCATTTCTTAAGTTATTCTAAGACACTAAATAAGTTTTCATAGAAGTTTTACATTATAACTGGAAATATTTGTCATGGTGTTCCTTGGAACATGTCGCTGCTATTCCTGCCTTGCAGAGTGGACATATTTTGAGGGGCTAAACTTCTCTCTTACAACTTGAAACCTCTCCTTAGAAGGGAATTAGTTTAACTTTCAAATCCTGACTTTGTCTGGCATCCTGTTGTGCTACAATTAAATTGTCAGCCTATAAATAAAGGAAATTGAAGAGTGCTCAGGTTTTCTTTCTTCAGTTACTATCTAGAATAGTTTATGTGGTAGAGTTGATTATTTTTGCAGCTGCTTCTTCCACTTCCTATCCTGCTAGATGGCATCATCTACCATACTTTTGTTTACCATACTTTTTTTTGGTTAAGATCCTCAAGCATGTGTCTCCAAACTTTGCTTGAAAAGAAGTTTGATGTTTGCAAAACAGATTGAGATTACATAGAATGTAAAGGAAAGCTGGTGAAGATAGTAACTGATAGGTGATGAAGATAGTAACTGAAAGGATAGAACTGAAAGTTCTTCATAGGATCAGTCTGGATTTAATTGTATCTGCAATGTGAGCTGGCAGAGGAAGGAAAAACGTGACTTAAAATTTTGAGTTCTTAACAAAAAATGTATTTGGTTGATATGCCTCTCTAATTGTGATGCCTTTGGCTCAAGTATTCTTCCTGAAGAACTCTCACAGGAAAGAGCCTCTGATGATACATGGGTCATCATAATCCATAAGGAAATTAAGAAGTAACTAAGTGTTGTTAACTCCGCATTATTCCTGTCATCAAGAACTCTTAGGTTAATATAGAGGAAGACAACTGAAATATTTACCTATGTTGTGCAGATGAGGCAAAGTACACTGGTATTTCACACAGTGAGTTTGTGTAGTATAGAATATGAAAATGTACTGTTTTACTGAGACGATGTATATGATGTGTAGTCAGAGAATTATCATAATGGGAATCAATGCAATTCCACATCAGCTGAAAGTGTATAGGTCTTTCTGCTGTTGTCCCTTAGAATTGTAATATTCTAAAAATCATTCTTGTCTGTCTTACAGGTTTGCCAACTGACAGATGAGCATATACATCGCTTGGTGAAAATGACACGTGATTTTACCCTGCTTTTTTATAAGGTATTGGCAGGTGCTTCTGAGAAACCTTCAAAACTTGACTCTGGCATGTTAGTTGTATGAGATCATCAGTGAAAACAGTAAAAACTGCAACAGGACAAGTGTTTCCATTAATAGGAACGTTGGCTTGTGTGCTCTTTATTAATTGTGAATTGTCAAATGATGGAAAGGTAAGACTGTAAGAATGTGCATAGCTTGGCCCAGTTGCAGCAGAAGAGTTTGACAGATGCTGCCTGAGGGCCAGTTCAGTTTTGCTGTGCATGCGCTGTGACGTCGCTATGAACATGTCAGAATTGATGTAGGTTAAGCACACACTTCCATGTAAGATAACATAAAGGTCACTTTTCAAACTGGGAACTAGAGATTGCCCCAGGGAAGTACGAAGGTAATTCATATAGCTTCCTTTAGGAGAGTTGAAATAGCAAGTATATTTATTTGACTAAATAGATTCTAACGTCTAACAACTTTTTTTTTTTTTTTTCTCTGACTGAGACATCGTTTTTGGTTGCTAAAGTGAAATAAATTCCAGCTTCTCCCTACTGCCAAAACTTCAGTAGGATTTGATTTCTTCCCCCGTAAACTCTATAATTCTTGGTTGCTCTTTAACTTTCCAAAATAGAAAAAGAGAGAATTTGACCTAATTGTATGTTTTTCTTCTTTAAGCTGCATGCAGAGAAATGAACAGCAGCAGTGAAATTCTTGTCTGTTTCTCTTGGTATTCATGAAAGGCAAGGAGGTAGTGCTGCTAAAAAATCTTTTTTTTTTGGTAGGCTAGGAGGAGGGCACCTACCTTTCCTAAAACCATCTTTCAATCATAAAGGCTAAAAATTTAATTTGTTTAATAGTCTGCTTTCCCCCAGCTCATTGAAGAGTAGTTTAGTCTGTTGGCTAGGGAAATATTTTAATTCTCCAAACTTCATAGGGAAGACTATCAGTAAAGAGATAACATCCAGTTCTGCAACAGCTATACTAAGAGATTTAAATGTGTCATGGGCTTTTAGACTGACAATAAACAACGAGTTAAAGTTTCTGTAGTTCAGTTTAGCCATTTCCAAAACTTTTATAATCTATACTTAGCAGGTATTCACCAGTCAAGTGCTTTTACAGGAGAGCTAGCCCCACCCCAAGTCTCTTTAAGATAGAAAAATAATGAAAATAGGTTAATATGAGGGGTAGTGCTTAATCATTTTTTATATACTGTTATAGAATGTTTGTAGTAATCATACTACATCATTTGTAGTAACACCTTAGAGACATGAAGATGAGGAATCTTGTTTGTGTAAAAAGCTATTGCTTTTGTTTGTTTTTAAATAACTGACTGGGAGGAAACCACTAATAAGAAACTAACGATAAACCTTGAGGGGAAAGCAAACTGCTTGTGAATGTTCGTGCAAATATATATTAGTAATTCCTACTGATTGCTTTTGCCGGTATAATCTAGTAATTCATTCTCATTCAGCGACGCTGATGAACAAGAGCACAGCAGAAGCAAATATGCTGTGCTCAAAGACTCCTGTATTTTGGCAGAGCTCCAAGGGTCTTCATGCATTATGGAGCTAGAGCTGTTGAACCCTGCCAGAGTGGGGCTGGTATTGCTGGGACAGCTGTGCTATAATTTGAACTGTGCCCAAGGAACTCATGTGGCTCTGCAGAGTTCGCTGAATCTCTACTGGGCTTTTCTTGTTTGGTTTTTGGTTTTGTTTTTTTTTTTTTTATGTTTTTCTGACAGTTTTAGCTGGGGTATGTCTATGCTGACTCCCCGTGAATTGTCTCATGAAATGTGCTTGCTTGTCAGCCCTCTGGAAGCTCTTTAGGTCACTGTGCCCTTTGGGCTTGTACCCTAATTAATTTTGCATGCCAGGTCTAGGGAGCTCACCATAGTGCCAAGTGGCTTTTCATAAGCCAACTTCTCTGGCATGGCCAGTGCTAAGATGAAGCTGAGCATCACCCCACTCCTACAGAATCTCTGGAATATTTCTGCATTGCTCTGTTCTTTAGGTGTTGGGAAGGTTGATTAACCCAGATTGTAGTGTCAGGTCTGAGCTGGCCCTGTGGTGTGTTTTTGGTTCTTTTTGGGGTGAGGGAAGGTGGTGTTGGTTTTGTGTTTTATGTTTGTTTTATTTTTGTTTTCAGTGCTGCATTGATTGGAGCACATCAGCTCTTTAAGAACACTGTGTCACGTCAAAGACGACTGGTACTGAGTCAGAGCTCCCTGGTCCAGCTGAACTCAGGGAGTCCCTAGGATATATTTGCTTGCACCATACTAGTATGGCTTTGTGTCTTGTGTGTTTTATTCCATTATGTGGAAAATTCCAGACACTGTTATACCTTATTTAAAGACAATTCTTTTAATGAAAGAATATGAAATACAGATGATGGCCCTTATGAGTGTGCCTTAAGTATCTTCACGTAGTCATTGAGCTGTCAGTTTATGTCAGGTTTTTTTTTTTACAGTTGAACTGTAGAAGGACTGAGATAAAATTATACTGGGTCTCTAACTTGGGTCTCTAACATGTTCTGTTTTAGTGCCGCAAAACTGGGTCTCCACTCTACAAACACTACAAAGTATACAAGCGCCCAACCTGTGGTCAGTGCAATGGGAAGATCACTGTGTGTCGTTTAGGAGAGAATGACAGGATGACCTACTTCTGCTCTCAATGTCAAAAGGCGGATCCCCAGCTCATCAGTGTTGGGTATGATGGTAACTTTGTAGCACCTTTAAGCATCAAAGTGCTTAAGCACCTCAAAATGCTGTTACAGTAAGAGGACATCACTTCTCAAATAGAATGGATCCTGGTGCATTTTGTATCTAAATTCACTTGACTTTGCGAAAGAAAAATATTTTGGCGATTGATATTTAAAAATAGTTAAAAGCTTTTGTTCTTTGATGCTATTTATTTCAAAGGCACCATCTGTTATGAAATAGCTATTACTCTAATCAAATGTAGTAATTACAAAACAATTCAGAGTACCCAGAATTATTTACTACTTCTGGAAAAAATGCCCCTTGTTCTTGGTGTTATCGATATAATAGACTTTTATGTTTATACACAACTGTGTTGAATGGCATAAGGAAGGTGGGAATTTGTGTGTCTATTTCTTTTCATAGGATAGCCCCTTCAGTCCTGGATAGGTGTGCATCTATGCAATTTTGTTCTGGCTATAGAGTTACCCTGAAGATAACTAAAACTTCATTAAACTCAGAGTGCAGCAAATCTTGTAGGGCTTAGGACTTTTTTTTTTATTCCTTCTCATTGGATTTGGAAAACTTTTACTACAGGTGTGCTACAGAGACACCTTCAATTCCACAGAAATTGTGCTAGCAGCAGCTTTCCTCCTTTTATTTTAGAAAAACACAAAATGCATTTGATATTGCAAAGGGTCAAAAGGTGAAAGTTCCAAAAGCATCTTATTCAGACTCTTACATACCTAAGTTATTATTGAAAATTTTCATCTGAGATTTCAGAATCTTGCCTTTTTATACTGAGCTTCGTCAATCTAATAAAAGATATGGCTTCACTTTGCAAACTTTTCCTTCATTACTGTGTGTGTATATATATTTTTCTTTTTTTAGATAAGATTTATAGGACACACAAATCCCTCTCCTACCTCCAACCTTCTTTCAAGATTGTGAAGATGAAGGGATTGGCTGAAGGGATTTTGGTTAAAGCTTAAAATCGCCTTTGAGTGCAGATCAAATATAGAAGATTCCAGTATGGAAGATAAATATTTCACATGCTGATAACCCCAATCTTCTGTATTTTCAGAAAGTAATAATGAGAAATGTTTTGCAGATGGGTAGGAAGACAGCAGTGTTCCATGGAGTCAGATAACTAGTAAATGATGCAAGGAAAAAACAAAATCTCTTTCTGTCTCTGTTCTAGAACAAGTAGTGGTTTGGTTTTATGGTTGTGTGTTCTGTCGTTGTTTGGTTTTTTCTTTTAAACAAATAATTAAAGAGTGGTATATTTCAGTGAAAAACACAATAATGGTAGCTATAAAACAAAAAGGTCATTTCTTGTGCTGTCCTCAGCCTAATGCTAAGGTCTTTTGCTGCTCTGTTATGCAGTAACTCTGAGCAAATAAAAGTATGTGTAGCTCAAGTGGCTTATCTGCCATTCCAAGCTTGTCACATTTGAAGACTGAAAGGAGCTCATGTGATCAGACTTGCTTGCTGCAGATCATAAACTGTAGAATTCAACCCAGATGTTCTTGGGTCAAGTCAAGTAGCTTAAGATTTTGCTCAACTGAAAAAATGAAGAAAATACCCATTATAAGTTTGCCTCATCAAATTCAAATATACCTTGAGTCTTAAAAATACACTTTTTCCCCCATATTTCATGTTCCAAAATGGGGAAGCAGGGGGAACAGCATGACGGATGGACCATGGGGGATGACATGGAATTAAACTCCCAAACATGACACGCTGAATATATTCAATCTAGTTATGCATTTTGATAGCTGAGTAGAACAGCTGATCTAATAATGTGAAAATACCCATTTTTAACACTTCTAGTTTTGCTGTTTTGTTATCGAGCCACAGTGTTTTGGTGAATGCTACTTTAATGTCTGTTCCACCTCTTGACAGCCCAGGATCTCTGGTATGTCAGCTGTTCTCATTATCCTCCTTAGTTTTCCTGTTGTGGAAGAGATGTGGCAGGTAGTGGATTCTCCTACCATTATCTGCTAAGGAAAGTGATAATTACAGAATAAGTGATAGGTCTAACAAGTGTCATAACAGTTGGCAAGTACAGCATTTGCATTATTAATTAAAGTGCTTAAATTCTTAGGATTAAAAAAAAGTCTCCAAAAAGTGCATAATTCCACAAAAACTATGGAGTAAAATGCTTGACAACTCGTCAGCCATAATACTTAAAAATTTACATACATATCTTACTGAACAGATAAGTTCAAGTTATATGTAACATGCTAACAATGTTTGGATACTGTGACAAAATTAGTCCTTGGTAACATGTAGTGACTGCGATTCTAAATCAGTGTATCAGTATAGGAGGTATTATAATTTACAGGAAAATAAATAAAATTAAATCTACAGAGGTCTCTAGAGTACAGCTTTGGCTCACCAGTCACAGGCAGGACATTCCTGAATTCTTTCTGATGAGGAGAAAAAAAAGCACACACACATGAAACAAGAAGAAAAAAAAAAAAAGTCAAAAATACTTAATTCTGCACTGGCACATGGGTAGGAAGACAGCAGTGTTAAAAGGTTAAGTATTAGAAGGTTTTCCAGCAAATGCAAAGAAAGACTTTCTAACATTTAAGATTTTGAGTTCTGTTGGCTGTTACAATAACAAAGTAGTCTGCTGGGTACCATTTAAATGAGAGCAAAAAAATCTGTTTGCTAGGTTGTGTGACTTTCTGTAGTTCAGCCTCTGAACAGTTCTTCATCCAGTAATGCATTTGTTAGTAATCATTTTGTACAAGGGATGGGGGAAAGGTACTGAAACAGTCTCTCTTTAAAAAAAATGAAAATGGTAGGAAATTTGAGAGAGGCTGGGGCATTGTGCTGGAGAGTACATCAGTTAATAATTAACTTTCTGTCTGTTTTTGTTTAAACATTTTTATTTGTATTACTTCTGCAGCATTGGGAAAGATTTGCCCTTGAGGTAAAAAAAAAAAAAAAAAAAAAATAATTCAAACTCTAACCATGACATGCTGTCCAAGCTGTGATAGGTAGGCATAATGCTGTGTACTACTTGTTCTCTAGCTCTGTGCCTCCCTGCACATAGTGGTGTAAGGCAATTTGTAGAAGAAATGTCACAAAAGACTAACATCATTCTTCTGTTTCACAGCAAACTGCCAACTAGAAATAGCCTAATTGGCTGGGCATATGGCAGGGGGTCCTGTTCTAATGAACACGTAGCTCAGAAATCTGAAGAGGAGTGGACGTGTATGCGCTGCACCCTAATAAACAAGCCTTCTGCTGAAATTTGTGATGCCTGTTTGACTTCAAGGCCTGAAGGTATTGAAAGGTTGTCTGGAACCTATACTGGGAAAGCGGGGAGAACTATGGTTTTGATGAAGTTTTTAGAACTATAGAACTGTAGTAGTGTCTCATTGTGAATCATATTTATATAACTTTAGCTAACTTAAAGTCAGATTTTCAGGAAATCTTACAGACAATCATAGAAACTGTCTTGTCTTCAACCCTAAAAGTGTCTTGTCTTCCAGCTTTGAGTGCAGATGGGATTCTATAGACAAGCCTCTGGAGTGACACTTTTTTTTTTTAATTGGGGGTGAGACAAGATGCCATTCTTTTGACTCTCCTTAAAATCATTAGAAGCTCAAAGCATATGTCTGATATAGAAATCGCCAGGAGTCAGAAAAGTAATTATCATTCTTTCATGTGAACAAAAGCAGTATGTTTTGGTACCCTTTCTAAAAGGATGTCGGGTTTCTCAGGGGCTAGATTTTTTTCCTCCAAGTTCAGGTTGCCTAGAGAAGTTGTGGATGCCCCATCCCTGGAGGTGTTCAAGGCCAGGTTGGATGAGGCTTTGAGCAACCTGGGCTAGTGGAGGGTGTCCCTGCCCATGGCAGGGGGGTTGGAACTAGATGATCTTTAAGGTTCTTTACAACTCAAACTATTTTATGGTTCAGGGTAAGGATGATTCTGGACATCTTACCTAAATTTGTTGTTTGTCTCTTGCTGGAGCTTTTAATGCTGCTCTCTAGAGCTGGTGGGCAGAAGCAGCTGTAAATGAAACCTAGAAAGGGACAGGAGGATGGAGTGAGTAACATGCTAGCTTCTCTCCAGATTTCTGTGTAGAAATTTAGGTATTAAGAAGGGATGAGTGAGATTAATAGACTTTCCACTGAAACCTGTTTTCTGTGTGAAGAGGAGCTTTGTATTCTTTTTCACTTGCTGTAGAAAAAGTGAGTAAATTACTTTACAGGAAGTTATTTGGATCAAGACTGTTGCTCCAAAACACTTTGAATTGCTGCATATATTTCAAGCAACAAAGTCTAGACGTGTGCATGTGTGTGGCTTTTTAGGGATAAAGCTAATTCTATAACAATTCCGTATTGAAACTTTTCTACCTCAAAAACTAATACTCCACTTATTTCACATTTTGTAGTGAATTATTCAATGAAGTTGCTGAAATCTGCATACTAAACTTATTTTTGTAGCTCCAGTGCTGTAGAACTGAAAGAAAATATATTTGTAAATGATACACAGGGGTTTTTTTATCTGAGAAGAATTAATGTTTTTATGTAGGCTCCAGGACCCATTATTAAAAGTTCACTGAATTTAACTATATGATTCAAAGCATATATGCTGAAATTGGAATTAAAGATCACATTCCCATAGCTTTTGATTGTACTTCGAGACATACTTTCCAAAGTGCCTCTAGATTCCCAGCTTGTGAAGAAGTGACTTTCTAGTATTGATCTTGGTTCTTATAAAATAAGTTCCAATGCTTTTTTAAATATTGCTTCATTCCAGTTATTCCTTTTATGAATGGAGTGATGGGTGTGAAACTCTTATTTTACACTAGCTAAAGTCTGTTTCTTCAGGCCAGGAATCAATAAAAGTAAGTCTTTGTGCCTTACATGACACTTGTTGCCAGCAGAGGCTAATCTTGCATAATTCTTCTACAAAATCAGCACCAGAAACCTAAAAGTTTAAATCTGTCCACAGACTCAGATTTACCAACTAGCGTTTATCTTGGAATTAATACTGTCAGCTGGACCTTAAAATATATAATGGCATGTGCACAAATGCTTTATCTTAAGCTTTGTAACAAAATCTTGTTTCTTCTCCTGTACTTCTAAGTTTTACTTGTTTAGCTATAGGCCAATACTGAAAACAGGCCTGGAATATGTAGGTGTGTTAGACTTGGTGGAATACTGTTACATTTTTTTTTTTTTTAATAAGACTTATTTTTGCATCATAGGAGTGGTATTTAAGATTTTTTTAAACATGGCTTTGCTTACCTCTCTCTTTTCAAAACTGAAGATTCCTTGCCTTCTTACATCGTTCATTTTTTGTCTTTTCTAAAATTAACTACTGTCAGCAGAAACATTTGAATTTTTGAGGACAGAATACTTATACATAAAGTTAGCTGCTGGCCATACAGCCAAAATAATTCAGTCTGTAGACAGAGATAACTATTAACCATTACAGCTCAATTTTCTTGCTCCTTTGCTAAGTACAAGGCCAAGCTCCCATTCTTTCTTAAACAAATCAGAATGCACTAGACTAACCAGTATGTTTCACTGTGCAGCAGTGGCAAAATGGAAGGAGCCCAGAAACAAGTATTGTTCCGACTAAACTGTAGGGATTCTTACTCTGTTTCCGAGTGAGAAAGCCTTTGGATAGAGTGTGCCCTTGTGTATGCCTTATCTACCCATTTTACTTCTGCTTAATTTCCTCTTTATTGTATGGAGGGAAGATGTAGGAGGGAGACACTCACTGGAGATGGTAAAAAAGAAAAGACTGTTCTTGAGCACTATGGTGTCACAGCTGCTAAACAAAGATTGCACATAGGGACCCCCTAAAATCTTTCTTTTCACCCTTTTCTCAGAGAAGATTACCTCCAGACTCTGTATTTATTAAACTGGTATTAATAAATTATGCCCACTGTTTTGGATTGATTATTGCCAACTAAGAGGGCTTCTAATTCTGTGCAGAAACAAACTGTTGTTCAGGAAATAAATGCAAAGTAAATGTCTGAACTGCTTGCTTCTGAAGCCTGTTACAGTAAGGAATCAATAAGTTCGGATGCATACAATGTTTGGAAAGGACAGGAACCCTGAAAGCACTAGAAAACACAACAAATGAATATTCCTTTTTTTGTCAATAGTAAAACAATACTTTAAAAATGGATAATGTATTGCTGCTGGAGGTACCATACACTGTGATCTCCCAGTGCTGGGGTTATAAAAGCTTCTTTTGAAAAATGTTAATATTTTAATCCCTGTATTTGAGCCAAATTCAATTTTGTGTGGTTAATTCCCCGGTAGCTTTCATTTACAGAGTACTATTCACATCTGGTCCTATTCAAACAATAGTAATGTTATCTTGAAACACATGTCGTATGTGACTCCAAAAGTGCGTGAGCTTTTTTATTTTAAGAAATTTGGTACTATATCTAATCTGTGACAGGTTTTGAGATCTTTCAGGATGGTATGGTAAATTTACTCTTTCATTTGCTGTATGATGACTTATGAATACAGATCAGAAATATGATGTATCACTCTACACAGATGGATGATAACCAATAACTTATTTTTCCTTAGTTACGAAGACAGACAATGCTGAAGATTCTGCAGCCTTTAACATAAACTTAATGAAGTACCCTTGCAATGATTTCAGAAAACCAAGCACAGAAATAAAGATCAATAGGAAAGCTGCATTTGGAACTACAACTCTTGTCCTAACAGATCTTGGTAGCAAACCTATTTTTAGAAATGATACCCAAATATCTGATGGATGCTCTCAGTGTGTTGCTCCAAAAAGCAATTGTAATAAAATCCAAAACAATGTGTACCAGTCAGGGGGAAGCACAGACAAGGATTGCTCAACACATGTAACTGCTATGGCTTTGTCCTCCTGTCAGCAACCTCTCTCTTTCACACATGTACACAAGAAACAGAAAACTGATCATATACCCTCAATTCAGCAGTATAACACAGCAATCAGGTATGTATTCTAAAATGTAAACAAGTATTTTTACAATCCCATAAACCAGTTTTATCCCTGAAGATTAATGGAATACTGTGCTGTTGGGTTCAGACACTGTTGTCTTTGGATTTCTGCCAGAGGTAACTTATTCTTGGGCAGCTAAAATTACACTTCGATTTCAACAGCACTGAATGCCCTAGGCTGTCACTGGAAAAGTCCTGATTTTGGCATCTGGCCAGTACTGCTGTTAACTAAACAGCTGTTCATAGTTCAGCTATTCCCATGCAATGGGACAATATAGCTCTAATAGGTCAAGCAGCACAGTTCTATCTAAGGAGTTGTCTGATCTTAGCACTGTAGTTGCTACCTGCTTTGAGAGATCTTGAAATCATTGAGAACGATGACAAAAGGAAGGCAGCTGAATGACTATATTGTAATTACAGTTATTTGTCAACTAGCAGTTGTCAGCATTCTTCCATGATACAAAGATCTGCACAGGTACCTTGATGAACTTCCCATTACTATCTTCTCTTAACTTTCCTCCCCATCATATATGTAACTACTTCAACACTCTACCCATCCTGAATTTTTATTTACACAGCCCTATTCAGACACATCCGTTGCCTAGCTAAGAGAAATGGGAGAGCCTATTAGGGTTGTCAAGGAAAAGTTGGGCAGACATACACAACAGTAATGGAAGTGCAAGGTAGATGTCACTTACAGTGGTAAATTATGCAGGGTGAATGTGAAATATTAATTATTTGCTACAAAATTCTTGGTCATGTGTCTGTTCTGAAATATAGAAAATTATTTCTTGTATTGTTGAAGCACCAGTTTTGCCACAGGATCTCACTGGCTAGCCAGGTTAGGCTTGTATAAATATACTTTCTCCTTGCTGTCTCAGTAGAGGACAACAGAGCTGAGGATGTAGGCAGGATAACTGAGAATACAGAGGAGTACAAAGAAGAAGTGAGACAGTATCAATTGTGATAACAGGTAGTCAGAGCAAGTCATCAAATTAAACATTTAAAAAAAAAACACAACAAAAGACCAGAACACTTGGTAACAAAAGCAACAAAAATTGTTGCAGTTTTTTCTTTTGTTTTAATGAGGTGTTGGAATAAAATCGCTGATGTCTGCAGGACTGCAATCTTACAGACATAAAAGAGAACATAAAATTCCTAAGATAATAACTTAACAAGAATGAATTAATTAATCTTTTCTTTTTTCACTATGGTTTCATCACTGCTCCTCTGCTCAATAAACACATTAGAAAGATATATTTCAGAGTATTAATCTTTTTCATGTTACCCTTTTTAAAGAAAGACTTGTGTCTTGCATTCAGATAATCTCTAACTATCTCAATCATGAGGAAGAAAGAAAAACTTTATACCAGTGAGAGAACACTGTTCCATCCCCTCAGCTGGATTACTTCTTATTCAAACATGATTTGGAGGATTACTGTAACTTTTTATTAAAGAGGGGGAGAGACTTTTCAGTGAAGCATACAAATACTTTCAACCTGGAGTAGTTGGTATTGGTCTTTCTCCCACTAAGAGCAGAATACTGTCTTAGAATATGTTGGAATTTGGGGTAGGCAGTATAATAGAGGTGGTAATACTTATTTTGTTTTGCAGATTAATTTAAGAGTACTTTGAGATAATGTAAAACATGGGCTAATGCTGTGTAAAACTGGTATAATATCTGCAAGAAAAGTACACAGCTTTCACTGCTTTACTAGCAATCATTCAGCTTTAAAGGTGCAATAGGGTGCATTAGAGAAGTAAGTTATCTGGCTCTCATTGTGTGTAAAAGTACACTGAGTGTGCTATTGTAATGGCAGGAGAGAATTCTTTGGCTGTGGTGTTGATAATCCCGTTAACCTTATGCAGGAGTCATTTTGTAACCTGTCATTGCAGAAAACCTCATATTCGTACGTTAAGCGCCGGCCATCCTCACTGCAGTAAACACAACCGTCTCTGCAGCCTCAGAGTTGTGAGAAAGGATGGAGGGAACAAGGGCAGGCAGTTTTATACCTGTCCTCTGCCCAGAGAAACTCGGTGTGACTACTTTCAAGTACGTATAAGACTTGAGGGCCTCTTTTCTAATAAGCAATTTTTCCTGCACCCTCCTTGCCCCAGTAACCTGTAGTGGACAGATATGATCCATCTAAAGTTTGAGATAATTTTAAATACTTTTGCACATTGAATTGAAACTAAGAGCATAATAGTAGTTATAGTTTTAGTTACATCTCTTGCTCCTGAGAAGGCACTTGCTTGTGCGAAAACTCTTCATCCGCTTCTGTGCGACGTAAGACAGCTGCAAGAAGGGACTTGTACAAGTTGTTTAGTTCAGCCTCTTGCTTGAAGAAAGACTATGGCAAACTCTAGACCTGGACATCAGTCAGTTTTCTATCTAGACAAAATCCTGAAAACCTCCAAGAATGAAGATTCTGTAATCTGCCTGGGCAGCTGCTCTGACTGCTGCACTATACCTAACCTGACCTTCCCAGCTGCAGCTGGTGGCCACTGCTCCTCACTAGGGATGGACGTGACTGAGAAGAGTTTGACTCAGTCCCCTACCGCCAGGTAGCTAACAGATGAACTTAAGACAGTAATGACCATAATGCCTTAATTTGAAGAAAACTACGTGTTAACATCAATTAGAGTTACACCAGTTAAAGTGCATGCAGCTGCAATTACAGAAAAATCTAAAACCAGTGATCACAAAAGATATCAAACTATCTTAACTACTAGGAAGAGTTTCTGCTAGGGCCTCCCCTGTATATCTCTTTCAATTGCTAGTTTTAAAATCAGAAATTCATAGCCTTCACATGGGCTTAAACTGTGCCTAAAACATGTTTCTTTTGGCAGTGGGCTGACTTGAATTTTCCATTTTGTAACCATGGCAAGCGATGTGTTATGAAGACAGTGTTGAAGATTGGTCCCAATAATGGAAAGAACTTTTTTGTGTGCCCTCTTGGGAAGGAAAAAGAGTGTGGCTTTTTCCAATGGGTAGAAAATGGGCCAGGTATGCAGGTTATTCCTTGATGTTGATGTTCTAGTCTTCTCCTGCTCAGGATGTCTTAAGTGGATACAACTTTCCTAGTCATTTCTGTTTTGTTTTTGTGTTTTTCCCTGTTCGCTGGTTAATTAGTAAAATAGCTCCAACGACATAAAGAACTTTGGAAAGTTCTTTCCAGATTTGGAAAAAGTAATTTTACATAGACCTATAAAAATTAAGCACTGCTTTTATGCTGCATACCATTTTGAAATAAACATCTAGTTTGCAATATATTGTGACATGCTGTTATATTTGTCATTAAAAAATGGAACTTTTTTTTTCTCCTCATTTAAATGTCACTGAAGTTTGACAGCACTGCATACTTCCAAGTGTATATGATTTATAGAATGGATAACTTAATTAAATTAGTATTTTAAATTGGTAGACTTTCTCATAAATGTAAACGTCTATTTAATAAAAGTGAATAAAAAGTCAAAATACTTTAATATCACTTTGTGCTTTTTTTCCTCAGAGCTTAAAATGAGACAGCAATGGACTGTACACTTTCAATGTTATCATAGTTGAATGTGTGACCTTGCTTAGATTTGGAAAGCAAAGAGAAAAACTGCTCAAAAATTAATAAGAAGACTCTGCAGTTTTCTTCATTACAGATTTTAAATCCTGATCTTAACATTTTATTCTTGTTGCTGAACTTACTTTCCCCAATCCATGGGTAATGCATAATAAAATCACACTTCTTAGGTGGTTAAAACTCAGTTTACATTTGCTTGTCTTACCACTATCTGATGAAGCAAGGGGAAAAGTAAACAGAATATGCTAAGATATCAAATGTGAAGTAAAGCAGAAACAGAATTTCAAATCTTTGGAGCATGTACTGTAGATAACAAAGAAGATTAAACTAATGAAGATATGTCTATAGCTTCACAAATTATTGAACGACCACCAGTTTTTAAATAAAGTAATGGGAAGTAGCATTACTTCTCACCAAAAATGTGTGAAATGAAACAGGTTTAAAAGCTTCTTGTAACTGGTCCTTCAGTCTATGTAAGTACTTCAGAATTACTTGTGTCATTTCTGAGGGCTAACTGCTTTTTTGTGCCCCCCCCCCCCCCCTTTTTTTTTTAGGGGGAAGGACTACATAGTTTTCCTGAGAAAGTTGTGGAACTTCAGTCCAATTTAAATCTTCCATGCCATGGTGCAAGTGAAACAAATTAACCAACACAAATACAGAGGGTTTTTTCTTCCTCTTTTCAGTAGCCTTTGATACCTTTGAAATCTTTTAAAACTTTCCTTATGTGAAGGAAATCTTTTCTGATCAGACTGTAGAAACTATAATCCTTCTGTTGCTCAATGGACTCTTTACAAATAATATATATCTTTCATGAAGACTGTTATTTAAAGTGGGGTACAGAACTCCACCTGAGAACAAAACAAGATGCTTCATGTGGTGAAGACTGACTTTCCATTGCCATTTTTTTATATGATGCTTGTTACAATGATGTCACTAATAGCTTGTGCTTATACATCTAAATCTTTAAAATTGCTATCTAACCAGTTCCTGACTTGTTTGTACAACTGATTGCTGTGATAAAGTGTCTGATTATTTTTAAGTTGTACATGCTGTTGGATGACTTGCACAGGGATAAATCTTCAGTGGTTCAAGTAAATATGAAAAATCAAAAAGAAATACAACCATTTTTGATCACTTACCTTCAAGAAATATAAAGATCTCACTGAAGCTGGAAGTTAAATGACTTCTTCAAAGTTTGACACTTCAAATAGTTGGGCTGTTGTGTCTTTTTTAACAGCCAGACAAGAAGTATCTGTTTACCTAAAACACATACAAGTTTTAAAAGATTAACTGCTTTTATTAGCTACTGCAATCACTTTCCTTTTTCTGTTCTTAAATTTCTAGAAAGTGTTGTATGTTTTTAAAAAAAACCTGCATAAGCAGTATGGGAAGTTAATCTGGACAGTGGAGCAGTGATGTATAAGGTGCATTTACACCCAGAGGATGAAACATCTGAACTCTTTATTGAAATGAGTAGTACGTCCTGCTTAAATAAGGATTAAACTAAGGAAAAGTGTTTAAAATAAAATACTTTTTCCTGATCAATGGTTCATCTATTTAACAAGTCATTTCTCCCAAAGTTTGCATAATTTAAAAGCATGCGGAATAAACTACGTTAAAAATCTTACTATTATAATAGTAGAAGTTTCATCTTGAATGAATGTTCTTTTATTTTTAAGAAGTGACTTTCTGTATTGCCTCATTTCTGCTACTTTCAGCCTAACTACAAATGTTAGCATGCAATAACTTACATTTATAATCTCAAACATAATATGATAGGCTAGACAGTTGAACTGGAGCTGGCTGAAGGTAAGTAGCTTGAACAGCTGTATTTCACTATTTACCAGTGACACTGCAAGTAGAGATTTTATAAAGTCTCTGTGCATGAAGTTGCAATAAAACAGGTTAAGAATTCTAAGCATCTAAGTCTCTCTTAAAGATATTTCAGAATGGTTGTATCACTGATTGATGATACCACTGTTTCGGACAAACAGTTGTTTCAGGAAATGGATATTTAGCTCATAAATTCAAGCAAGAGGTGTCATCTAGCAGATAAATGTAAAATGTTTTGAGAGGAATTCTGAAATGTAAAAAATAAATTTGAGAAGTTTAAACAGGAAATAAGGCAGGAACTACAGGGCAAGTTATGGCTATTAAAGTGCAACATGAAAGTTTTGTTTATGGCATAAGTGTTTATGGAGAAATGTTTATTTCATAAACAAAACTCTAAATTTAGAAATTAGATTACTGCCTAACAAATTAAACAACTTGGGGACTAACACCTCTTCCCTAAATCTCGTGAAAGTAGGATACACTAATATCAAGGGCAATTCAACTGCTCTTTTACATTGCTAAGGCTATTATGCTATACATTAAAATTATAAATTATTTAATTCTAATCTCATGTCTCCCCAATACGTACCACTGATTTAAACTATAAACTTTGTAGAGGGTGTTTCCTTGGGCATCTGTTTTGAAGGGGTGGTATATTTGTATCAGCCTAAATTTGCTTATGATATATCCCGGTTTTATAATATCACGAGGTGAGAAAAGGCAAAAATGCAAATAACAATGGGCAAGGATACCCTGAGCTCATCACAGTGAACTTACACATGGAGGAATCGGACATGTTTACACTCCAGTGAAGTCAGAGACTATGCAGGAGACAGTGAATTCTAATTCACCAGCTGGTTCTGCATAACTTACTGCTTTTGCAAATGCTGCCTTTTTTTTTTTTTTTAACTTTTTTTTTTCCTCTAGGAGAGGACAGCACTATGTAACTTGTTAACAAGCTGTGGCTGATAGCTGGTTGCAAAGGTTTTGATAAAAAAAAAAGCTGTCAAGAAAACTTATCATCTTGGAATAGCTCCCTCTCTCAACCTTTCAAAAAGAATCTGCAACCAAGAGTGCAAAACAGTAGACAGTTATTGAAAGGATCTCTTGTGTTTGCTCAAGATAAAAGTCCTGATTTTTTGGCTTTTGTCCTGATAGTTTACAAATGTGTTTATTTTTTCACATTAATTCAGCTATTACAATGGAAGTGATGGAACACACATTTCAGATTCATATCTGGCTTACACATTTTAATGGCTTGTGTTGCATACAATCAACTGTTAAGGTTAAAAAGAACAAAGCCAAAGTTAAAAGAGGGAACTGTCTATCCCAAACATTTTCTGTCATTTATATTCCTCAGACAATGTAAATAGCTTTTTAAAAAATATAGCCCTTTTTTCAAAGCCTTAGGGTTCTGACATAGAGCTGTTACTTCAACCTGTACCCATACACAGCTGAGAGAAATGGGATGTATTGCCAGGGTCTGCAGCAGGCTGTTGGGACTCGCAGGCTCACTGAAGCTCCTTTGACTGAACACATTCTGCACCAGGTGGTGATGGCAGGTCTGGAGCAAAAAAGGAGTCTTCCAGTAAAGCTGACTTCTAAGTACTCTTACTTACAATTTCTAGAGAGCTTTTTTTAGGCATTAACATTACAAAGTGATAGCAGGAGTCTTAACAGAAACCTGCCTTTAACCTTATGCAGAAAGAACTTTTTCTGCTTTTATATACCACAAAGCTAATCTCATAAAACTCTCTGAACTCAGTTGAGATGCTACGTAAAACAGTTTTTAGACAATCAAATCAAGGTCACACAAGTTGTGAAGTAAAAATTTTAAACCTAGAAAATGCTAATGCCATATCCCTTTTCTGCTTTATGATAGTACTTTAGGTACTATTGCAGTTTCAGTAAGTTTGGGCAGAATATATCTTTCACTTTGAAAGTAACAATTTATTTTACAATTTGTGACCTTCTGGTTAGAATTAACAGATTTCATATCTCTGTACTCTTATTTAAAGCACTTTTATAACCATCTATTTGTTAAAGACAGACTTGCATTTTTCTTAATCTATACATGCACAACTACCATTTGATGGCAATATGAATTCAGGAAATACACTGAGGGCTGAAGCCTATGGATCATCTTATATTACACTGAGGGAGAAAGAAATTTACACCAAAAACATGCACTCAAATTTTGAGACGTGACTATGTTAACAGCTGTCACTACAGACCTGTACAATTATACAAGGATTTCTGCATCCACCCTTCCTGTGTAAAACGGTGCTAGTTCTCACTGGTTTTTCTGGAATGGAAAACATAAATAATGTTTTAGCTTGATGGAGGAAGGGGACTTTCAAAGAAGTGGAAGATACCATCCTTTCCTTAGTATCTGCGGGAATGTTCATCATTAGTGGCTAAGTATCTTTCATATGGAATCAAAAGGCACTGCAGCCTTTAATGGACTTCACAGCACCTGGAGGCTCTCTTTTCTCTCGGAACAAAATCTCTAGAAGATTTAAAACTCTTTTCAACATCTTTCTTGTACCTTTCTGCACTGTGGAACTCAACTTGCTGTCAGCTACAAATTGACATTTGCTGATAACAGCCAGAGTTCAGCAT